ATGAAAGGGCTCTTCAATAGCTGTATGCTTTGACTCAGGAGGGGGAGTAGGTATGTGGGGGACATTATCGGATGTTGCTTACACTTTGGATGGCGACGTCGACTGTAAAGGGGGAGATTTAGTTGCACGGGTTGGAGCCTTGGATATGCAAGCTCCATTGGCATGACCTATGAAACCACAATCGAAGCAGAAGTTAGTAAGCCCTTCATATTCGACTCGTTGAAAAAACCATCCTTGAAGCCCATTAATCCACGCCCTAACTTGAAGCTTTTGAGAAAGATCAATCCTAACAAAAATTCTTGCATAAGATGATCTTCCCCATGCTTATGTGTGAGTCCATCCACAGAGGTTCCCCTAGCATATTGGCAAGTCGAGTGATATTGTTTGTATCCCAATACATGAGAGGGAGTTGTGGGAGCCGAATCCAAATGGGAGAGTGAAGCCCATGAAGAGAGTTTGGAGAGGAGGTTGGAGACCACTTATCCATTCTGATGATGTTCCCTGCTAAAATCCACGACCCACTCATGAGTACCGCATCCATTGCCTCTATACTTTGGAAAATACAAATAAAAGAGTTTGGAACTGTAGTAATGATATTGAATTCTCCGAAGTGGAACCACCTACATTTGAGCTCACCAAGAAGGTAGGGAAAAGCAACCCTTCGTCCCATGAGTTTAGCCACTAATGCTCTATCCAATTTGGCAATGTTCTCGTGTACATCGGCCACTTCCGGCTCCATGTACATCCCATCATTGGCTAAAAAAATTTTACTTGGCATTTTATCCAACTTGATGAATTGGACCTTGTTCCAAGCGAAGGGGCTGGACTACATTCCTTTAGGCTGCATCGGAGATGCAACCGTGGGCTGGCAAAGGGGGCGAGCAGCTTGTGGGCATTCAGCAACAATAACACAAACATCTGGAGTGCGCTCTCCAGAAGCAAATTGCTGAATTTGGGAATGGTCAAGAGGCTTTGTACACCTGCAGTTTGGGGAGTTCACCACACACCAAGCCTTGTAATGTCCATAAGCAACACCAAGAACATCAGTTGTAGGGGAATTCAACTCCCCAAACGGAAGGATAAGAGATTGACAAACCTGGGCGGGATCCAACTAGTTACAAGTGGGCTTCGCAGCGTGCAGGTCGAGGCTTTCGGGAGAAGGTTGCCTAGGCGACCCCATGGAATCATCCGAGCCCACTTCACCAGAGTAGTCACCAGAAACCTGTATAGAATGGTTCGGCTTGACTTGCTCGAGCTGGTTGTCCTCCATATCAGAGTTAGACTCGGACTCAACGGTTGACTCCTCCATGTCATCTTCGGAGTTGTCCGATTCTTCCCCCGAACTACCTTCTCTTGAAGAACCCGGCTCTAGCGACTGGTTGGACTGGTTGATCTAAACAACCGCACATGGTTGTGCACTTCCTGGAGGAGGAGGTATTCTATTGACTTACGCCTTTTCTTTTCTGCCCTCATTCCTGACATTTGTCCATAAAAGAGCGGGCAAAGTAACTGCACCTGTTGAGCAGGTAGAAACCCCATATTTCGGGCACTTCGGCTCATTGATATCCTCCTTGCCCCGCTGGAAGTTGGCTTGAGTTTTCGCAGCCACCACATTCCAGGATTCCCTAGAAACAGGATCCCGAACTTGGGAGCTGCTCTCCGTCTTGACCACTGTAGTGACCTTGGAAATCTCCCTTGCCTCCTCATCAGCGGGAGCAAACAGATGCCAGTAGTTTTCGTTTTGACGGGAATCCCGCCTGCCGTCGCCTCTCCCACCATTTTGAGGAGGTGACCTAAGGCCACCCCCTCTAGCCATCCTAGAGCTTCTCTCTCTTAAAAAGCTCTAGAGAGAGGATAAGGGACTCATCTGGTCTTTTTTAAGGAAATATTTTGATATCATATTGAATTTACTAAATTAATCATAAAGACAAGGTATTTCAAATGATCCTAGAGAATATAAATAAAGTAGAAGAGAAGGTTCATCTAACCATGGCTCCATTCATAAGGAGACAACCTCTTTTGAAAATAATGTCTCCCAGTTTATCAAGGAGAGGATTAGAATAATAATAATAATAATAATAATAATAAAAAGGAGAGGATTAGAATAATATATTGTTAACTAGATAATTATTTAGAAATAACTAGACTAACTTTACACGCCTCAAGATTTTTTTAATAACCGCAAAGTCACTATAAAATTTATAAATAATCTAGTAAGTCCATGCTGAAAGTCACATGGCACAAACTTTTGGCGTGCAATAAATCCCACAATGACTGAATCGCTAAACCTTCAAGATGGTATTGTCAGACCAAGCTATCCAACTACCAATGCAAGACCCCATTGGAGCTAAGATTTGTGAAAACATTTTACTACCAGAAATCCAATTGTAGCATCTAGTCCACAGAACTCGAAAACCATTGTCCCATCAAGTACTTAGGCTAAAGCGGTAAAGAATCAAGAAGACAATATGAAAGCTATGCATCAAGAGAGAATTTCAAATCCCCAACCTCTTTGTTGAGTGATATTATCTTTGATCTCTAAAGTGGTGGTTTAAGTTTCAAATTCATGCAACAAAAAAAAAAAAAATTTTTTTTTTTTGATGCAAGAATGATGGCCTTAGATTGGACCATGACGGGTAGCCAAAAATTGTGATATTCAAGGGGTGTGAGTTTGTGGTTTGTATGGAGGGAAGTAGAATCCTTGACCATTAAGTTGATGCCAATGCGAAAGATAGTGTGGACATGGTGGAGGCTAGTCGGTTGGCTCCATCTGATAATAAAAGTCCGCATAGTAGTGCAATCAAGGCAGCGTTCATGGATCTTCTCATTGTGGAAGAAGATGAACAGTACCAGGTTGGGTTGGGGTGTGGATCCAACTCAGTAAGCTTATATATATATAGTTTTCCCCTTTTCTAATTGATTTTCCTTTTATAAAAATCTATGGAAAAATAATTTGTGATTTAGGAATGATTTTACTTATTTCAAATAATTCCCATAGTCTCAATTAACAAGATTTTAATCCCTTTATAATTTTTATTTGACCACTGATCAAGGTAAAATTAATTTGAAAACATGTGGCATACTAGCTCCTTGCATTTTCTTTTAATCCTATGCCATGAGATGTGTTAAAATTAATTGAAGAAAAGAAAATAAAGTATGTATTAACCTCATAGGGCCTTAAAAAGTTTGATAAATAACAAGTGAATGAAAAGAACAAAAAATAGTGAAAATCTTTCAATCATCATCATTTGTTCTATCATGCCTACTCGTTAGGCTTAGTTTCTTGATGCTGGTCGCTTATATTTTTAGTGTTGCATGATTTATTAAACCTATTTCTCACAGATATTTTTTGTGCTATGCTCGAGCCAAGTCACCTTTAGCTTATCCATTTGTTTCCTTTATCCTTCAACATGAACTTTTTATAGACACTTTCATTGTCAGGTCCCAAGTCGTAGATGAGAAAAATGAAGGGTTGTGTAGATAGTCGATAGCCAACATAAAATTTGTTGATTAATTAATATATTGTATTAACTTTATCTACATGCCATATTAGTGCAAATTAGTTATAAATCCTCAAACCAACTAATTTACTTTTACTCTCTTATCTTGAATAGTTGTTTGTTCAACTATCCTAATATAATCAATTCTTAACTGTTACTTCTAATTTTTCCACCTATACGCCTTAATATTTCATTAATATCATTCTTGGCTTGTTTATTAATGACTTATCTATTATCCCACACTCAGAGTATTACATGAAGGTTGATCTAATAGTAGTTTTATAAAATTTACCATTAAATTTCCCTAATATTTTCTTGTTTCATGTTTCTCTTGAGGCATTTATATATTTTAGTCTTCCAACCGTAAGTGTAGCATTTATAGCATTAAGTTTTAATATGATAGATCCAAATTATTTAATCCTAACATATGTTAGTATTACTTAATTAAATGAGAATTTATAAAGCTGAACTTAAATTATTTGGATACGACTAATTATGATGGTGATGCGTAGATATTATTTTATCTTTTAGTAATAATGACTAATAACTGACTCATACCCATTATAATTATATATGTTATACTGCCTTTGTTTAAGTAAATCCAAAGCCTTTATCAACTAAGTAATTTCTTTGCTCTAACTTTTCCCTCATTTAATATCACTTCTCTCTACCATTTGTTCTTCTCTCATTATAGTTCTGATGTGCAGATGCATCATTTCATTTCATGCGTTTTTGACTTTTAATGGTTACTCTTTTATTGGTGTGAGGGAATGCGCATCAACTATATTAACTATTCAATGCTGAGCTTCATGCCTCATTTTTGCTATAATTGTGGTTCTTATTGGCTAAAGCTTCTGGTTTATGTATTTCTATCTATTGGTACATTGGATTGTATTTGACCTCAAGTGTTCACTCTCCTAACAAGTGCCATCAAAGTCGATGATTTAGCTTGGATCAACAGTTTCATGTGGTTTGTAATGAAGATGGATATTTGTGGCTTTTGTCATAATAAAAAAATGTTTATGAGTAAGTTCCACACAAACTTCACATAATTGAGAGGACTTTTGGTGCATGATACTTAGTTGAATTGAGAGAGGTGGCCAACGCGAAGGACTCTCATGTGAGAGGAAGATTGTTGAAGTGCACATATGAGTGATTGGTAAAACGTCAATTACAAGAATTGTTGCTGTCACCGTATGTTACCTTGGTTATGTTTTTGGTGAATATGCATGTCATGATTAATTAGTATGGTTTTTTGCAATAAATTAGTGCGTAATACATTTCATAAACCCAATATCGCCGAGGAACAAACTCAACGTGTGACGATATGGCCAATGTTTGAGGTTTTATGGTTTTTTTTTTAAATTTAATCAGAGTTGTGCTCAAGAATCTTCATGGATTGCTATTTTTTCTCATTTAATCAAAGAGTTAGAACAAGAGAATTGACTAATTGAACAAAACTGAAAATTAATGTTTTTTGTATCAATGAATGATACTTAGGTTGAGGTGGAAAGAATGAGGGCTCGGGCCCATGACAAGGTTATGGGCAAACTAGCTGCTGCAAAACATAAAGCCCAGGAAAAGCGTGCTTCAGCCGAGGCAAGAAGGAACCAGCAAGCTGCAAGAACAGCAGAAAAGGCCGAATATATCCGAAGAACTGGACGTACTCCATCTTTCTCCTGTTGGGGTTGGTGCTTTTAATTATGCTCCTGTAGAACATCAACATATTCATTTTGGTATAATTTAAAGTAGTGCCTGTGAGACATAATTAGGCACTTGTTCATAGATGTGATTTCTCTATATCCTCTTTTTTTGTGAATTGCATTCGTTCATATTCATGTAAATGTGTCTAGATGATCATGCAAGCCTTTTGTTAATTGTTTTTTTTTTTTTTTGGTTCTTATCGGACCACGGTTTCTTTCTTTTAATCTAGTAAAACGAACTTTATCATTTGATTTTTTTTTCATCCAAAATTGCTAATGTACTTTGGTATGCTTTTCTGTATGCTAGAAAGTGGCGGTAGATGATGAAATCACGTAGTATCTCGCTTGATATTATGGTTATAAATGCTACATCAGTCATGTGAAATTTTAATGGCTGCCTCATTTGGTTCTTATTTGCTCATTTGATTCTATAAAAATATTATTGCTGTACACCCAAAATTGCTCTCTCGGGAGAGTTTTAACGAATTAGATTTTGGGGTAAATTTTCAGAAGGCTGATTGGGTTTGTAGATAAGAAACTACCCAGAGATTTCGCCCTCATTTTGCAAGGACCTTAGATCCGAGTTCTGGTTTCCTATAGGCGCAAGCCTCTATAGTTAATTACCCCTCCCGATAACGAGAGAGAACTTTCAATTAAGGCTTGTCGTCAAACAGATACGTAGATATACATGTATTTGGCATATAGTAGAAGCATGGGTTTAAATGTTTTAGAATTAATATCTAAAATTTGAAATTTTACCATCTCGCACTTAACGCGGATGGTGGGGGAAATGATGATGAGTCCGATCAAGAGCCCATGGTTATGTCGTTTTAGGCCATCATGGTCCATGGTCTACTTAGTCGGAGGAGGTAGTTGACCCAACCTGATAGAAGGATCCTTGTCGGCTGTCATGAGTTGCATCGTCTAAGGGAACCGTGTAGACCTGGGGTGAATATTTATCTTAGGGGATAAATATAATATACTTGTTGGGGCCCATGCGGGTGTACAATTGCATATATATTTATTTGTGTTTGTGTATGTGTATGTGTGGGGGCATTTTTGGAATATTTAACGGGTCATCTACGGTAGCTCATAGAAGCTTGTATTTTTCGTAGAACTTTTGTATTGACCTGTATGGGACATGTTGTGTGCATGAAGGGTCTTCTATAGCTGCCTATAGGTATTGCATTTGATGTATATCACTCGTTTCTGGTTGTAAAGGGGTCGATATAATTGCCCTCCATTAAGTGGTCGTCAACCACAAGGTAGTTGTAACATTCATTTCTCGTCGCTAGTTACCGGTTGTATACATTCTACTGTGTATACGAAAAAATCCTTTCATCTTTGCTGGTAGATGTTCACATTCATTTACATGTCAATTTCTGTTTGCTCACGAAGGACCCCTCGCAATGTATTTGTTCTTACTACTTGTAGGTAGATGAACATATTCGTTTGCAAACCTATGTTATCCACTGATCGAGCTACATTTATCACCCATCTTTCCATACATATTGATTGATGAATTACTGCCTTCGTCATCAATTTCTCTATGTATGTTTATTGGTGACCTTCTACATTTGCTTGCATGTGTTTCAGTGTTCATGAAAACTGCTATGGGTGTTTGTAAGTTAACTAACACCGGTCGTAGAGGAACGTTTGCGTCACAAGCGCGTTTGTTGTCATTGCTCGCAGACAGGTTGATGTGTATTGCAAGTCTTCCTCTTCATGCAAATGAATTGTTGCACTCATGCAAGCATCATGTTCGTTGAAGGGCTATTACATGTATATGCGAGACATCTATCAATTCACTGTGTTGACAGCAGGCATATTACTTTCCTAGCAACTTCCTTGCTTTGTTTGCAAGTATGCTGCATTCCTTATGTATGGCCGTCAGTAAATCATCATGTTCTTTGTGTATGTCAAATTCCCTAACTTGTGAGTGACATATATATATTTGCTTACATGAAAAGCGTGAGTACTGTGCATCAACTCACAAGTGTAATGTCTGCTAAGGGCTTTATATGTCTAATTGCAATTAGATTATACGCTCCTTTCAGTTTTTATTACTTGTGTATAGGTCATATTGAGAAACCACAAGTTCTTGCAATTATTTGTTGATATTTCTTGGATAACAAGGATTATTAATTAGCATTTGCATTTAAATTATTATGAATAAGCCATATTATTCGTTAAAGGTTTTTGCGTTGTGGCTCATATACAGGTCATGTTTGAATTTCCCTGTTAGTTTCACATTTATTTATTTGTGTTCAATTGTTTCTTAGTTGGTGAATTATGAGTTCAACTTCATGCGTTTATTTAAGTCCAATATATTGCTTTAGGTTCTGTTTTCTGTAGTCCAGTCACGTGTCCAGTTTCCTGTTATTTTGTTCAAGTCAAGTTCATAAGTTTTGTCTCATGCATCGTGTTCAAATTTAAGTCTTTTATCAATTGTTCAATTTAGGTCCTTTGTCACTGTAAAATTCAGCAGCCTTCTGGCGTCTCTACCGTTTAGGGAAAATTTCAGGAGTCTAGGTCATCCCACCACACTACGAGAGCATATATGTTAGGTGTCGGGTGACACCGCAGACATATTTCTTCAATCCCACCATGTTATGAGAGCGTGTATGGGTCTTCGAGGTAATTGTTTGAAAACAGACAATCGTTTTCCATGCTACGCTTCGAGAGCGTGTATATGTACTTAGAAATGTTCCTGTCATGGTAAAAGAGCATGTACAGGGCCTACTCACCTCAGTGTATGCATCTCACCGGGCTTCCTTTATCGTGTTACGAGTGCACGTATAGGGGGTTCTCTAGCTCGCCGCAAACGTCGAAAATAGGGTTTTAGTTTTAAAAGGGTTACACCTGCGCGAGGGAGTTGATTATGAGGGTGATGTTGTTGACAATGTAAATGCACAGAAAGAAAACACACATACTTCTTTTATCACCCCTCCCTTTGTCATTTTCACCCATCCTCATTTCATTCATTATATTTTATCAATTTCTTTTACTTCTATATACAAATATACATTCTCGTCTCCTTTTTTCTCATTTTTTTTTCATTTTCTTTCTTTGCACAAACACACACATCTATTATATATATATATATATATATATATTGGTCCAGGTAAATCCATTATAAAATAAAAGATAAATAAATAATTTGAAATATTTCATTACCTTATTAAGGGTCCAGGAAATAAACTCTTTTTTAATATGATACCTTACTAATTGAATGAAAAAAATTTAGATAGATAAAATAAAGTTATTTGGCTAATACTACTTTATTCCAAACAAAATCTTAGAATTAGAGTAATTAATAATGGGTAATCATTCTTAAACTAAGCAAGGGTTTTTTATTTTTTCATTTGATTTGTTGAATCCATAACTTTTTGAACTGTGTAATCTCCAATTATTGACATTGGTAACCGACCTAAAAAATTTTAATTATAATTTAATTCGTGACGATCGTAAATGGAAAGCTCATATTCTTCAGTCATCAATAAACAGTTTGTTGGACAATACTCGACACAGTTACAACAAAATATACAGACACAAAAATCAATGCTATAATGAAGCAATTATTTTTCTTAATATATTTTTCAAATTTCAATCAACAATGGGAAGGTCTATTGGACATATGCGAACACATACTTCACAAGCAATACATTTATCAAATTCAAAGTGGATTTAACCGCGAAAATGCTTTGATGTGATTGATTTTTCATATGGATATTGAATAGTTACAAGTAAACGATTTGTATAGGATAAGATAATTATGAAACTTATATATATATATATATGCACGCACGTGCGCATACGTGTTTACACATATAATACTTGTACATAAACATATATACATGTTCAAATTTAATAATAACAAAGATACAAATAACTCACAAATCAACAGAAGTAATAACATTATTTTTAAATAATAATGATAATTAATATCAACTAATTTAAATGAAATGATAGAAATAGCTTACTGTTTGTGGGATTGGGCTGATTTTGGTGAAATCTGGATTGTTTAGTGGGTTTTGGGATAGAATTGAGCTAGATAGGAGGCTAAATATGCTTGTGAAGTTGCTGCCTTGAGAGGGGTTGTATGTGGCCTCTTAAGAAATTGCTGGACTAAACTCTAACTGAATGTAATGATGACAAAAAGCTAGTTACAGAACATTCACGTGAATAAAGATAGGGCAACTTTCACATGGAAAAGGGAGCTAGGGGCCAGTGACTTGGCTTGGCTGGGGCTGGCGAGCAGGTGTATAGAAGGGGAACTTAGACGGAGCTGTTCAACCTCCAAATGAGGCATCGTGTAAGGGCGTGGGTGCGTGGGGTGAAATTGGCTGTAAAGAGGAAGCTTGATTTCGGCTGTAGGTTCGGTTGGCCTGAGGGAGCAAAGATTTGGGAAAGAAGAGTGAAAGAAGAGCTACAGTTTGGTTTAGCAAGAAGAAGATGGAGGTGTAGCTGCTGTTTAGACTTGTGGGGGTGTGGGGAGGAAAATGTGATGCGTTTGGGTTTTATATGAAGTAGAGGAAATCAAGCAGATCATGTGCAGGTTCGGCTTCACATGAATGGACGGGCCGAAGAGGGGAGGTGATGAAGACTGTGAGATAGGGAAAATTATTGGGTTTGGACACCGGACGTCGTTCAGAGCCCAATGAAAATGTGCTGCATTCCCTACTTGGTACTACCGAGCTCAGTAGTGCTCGGTACTGCTCAGTACCAAACTCAGTACTGCACGTTATCAAGCTTGGTATTGCTTGGTACTGGATAATGTGGCTGCACCTGATTGGTCTCTAAACGGTAAGCTGTGTCTAGTGTTCCCGTGAGATAGGGGTTGGAGGTTTCGGTTGGGTATATGTATGCATGATAGAGGCACAACTTCAGCATAGAAGAACAGAGGACGTGTCGAGAGCTGCTTGCGTGTATAGGCGAATAAGATATCTCGTGCATAGAAGTAGGGGGAAAAATCTTCTCTTAATCTTCAGTTTAACTTTAGCGACCGTGCTATTCGTCTGATCGAGGATATCAACAAATTTTCAGGAAAGATTTGAACAGAGCAGTCATCCGAGGTTTTCACGGGAATTACAGGATTTTACATAGAGCAGGAGGCAAGAGATACGAGGTAATTATGTCTCTTGATTTGAGTCAAAATTTAAAAAGATATTTTA